TTGGTTGAGCATCGTTTTCTACACCAAAAGGTCGCTGGTTCAATTTCTGGTCAGGGCACTTGCCCAGGTTTGCAGGTTCAGTCCCCAGAGTACGATCGATGTTTTTCTCTCTTCCTCTCCCTTCCTCTATCTCTAAAATAAAATCAATAAAGATATTTAAAAGAAAAAATATATAATGCGAATCACGTACGTACTTTTAAATTTTCCAGTAGCTGCATTAGAAGAGTAAAAAGAAAAAAGTGAAATTGATTTTAACAATATAGTTTACCAAACCCAATGTCATTTCAACATGTAATCAATATGAAGATTGAGAGCTATAGCACAGTCTTGCTTTAATGGCGAGTGTTAAAATTCGGTGTGCATTTTATATTTGCAGGAATCTCAATTCGGATGCTAAATTTTCACTGAAGATATCTGGTCTGTATTTAGATTTCATAAAACATACAGTTGAAAAAGTAGAATCACAAAATCGAATTGTTCTAAATGTACTGAGTCATCAAACTTAACTTAATTAAAATGAAATAAAATACAAAATTACGAAGTTCCTCGGGGTCACTAGCCGCATGTCAAGTGCTTGGAGCTAGCGGCTGTTTCCTGGGCCAATCCACGGGAAGTGGACAGAAGCCTGGAATGCTTTGGTCACAAGGAAAGGAATGAGGAAGTGCATCCAGGCAGGTGGAACAGCCTGAGAGGGCATGCTTCTGGCCTGTGCTGGGGACAGCGTGGGAGCCAGTTTGATTAGAACCAACCAGTGAGGTTGAAGAGGCCTGGTGGAGTCAGGTTGGGAAGGGTTTGGATTCCCAGTGATGCTGTGGAGACTTTATTCTGTCCCTAAACAGGAATCACCTGATGGGGAATTGAACAGGTAGCCTTTCGGTGCAGGGGACAACGCTCAACCAACTGAGCCACATCAGCCAGGGTAGCACTGGCCTACTTTCAAGCAGGTGATGGGTGATAGGTGCACTGTTTCAGGACCATCCACCTGGCACTGGGGCCCAGGCGGGGATGGAGAGAAGAGAGACAGCAGCTGAGAAGAGCAGCTTGGAGGTGGCTATGGTGATTCAGGTGGGCAGTGGCAGCTCCTGGCTAGTGTGAGGGCCAAAGGAACCAGCCTGAGACTCTACGAGCCAGACTCCATCGTGCTAAGGAAACCAAGAGGCTCTAAAGAGGGAGGGCGAGGAAGGGGCAGAGATGGCGGGAGGCTGGGTTCACACCAAACGCTTTGAGGAACCAGGGCGCTTCTGCTGGTCAGGAAGTGACTTGCCTAGGACACATGGCTGAAGCCAGGCCCCAGAGACTGTTGTGTGTTTTTTTGTGGATTTTAAAAAGCAAATGTATAATTTATATCATCCACTCCACCCCATGACTCACACGGTGATCCTGGACTTTGTCCAGAGTTTCTGAGGTTGTGAAAGTCCCTCCTTAGCTCGAGGCAACTCCTGGAGGTGCTGGTTCTAGGCTGGGGCCGAACGCAGGACTTTTCAGCAGGCAGAAGAAAGGTCTGGGCCGCAGCCCCTCTGTTCCCTCGCTTATCATGCCCCCAATGTCTTCCCTGGGAAAAAGCATTACTTCTAATGTGAATTCAGGGGTTTTGCTGTATTGTAAGGGAGAGGCTCTCTGGGAAAGGAAGCAGCTCATCCCCACCCCCACCCCGCCCGCCCCTGTCTCCTGGACCTCTGTCATCTGCAGTCTTCACGAGCAGATGATCCTGCTCAAAAGTGAGCCTGCTGGGGCTGCTGCCACGCAGCGAGGGACTGAAGTGTGGACTGTGAAGCCCAACACTGCATGGTCTGGGCATGTGGGCAGTGCCTGTTTGTGCCGGGCATTACGCTCCATGTTGAGGAGCACAAAGAAGAATGAATTTACGTCTGCCCAAGGCCTTGGGAGTCAGAGAGGTCCACTGGCCCGGCTCAGTGGGGGGGGCCTCATTGGAAGCAGGTGGGAGGTGATGGAGTTGAGCTTTGAA